CGCCGCCTCGTCCTCCGAGCCGCGCGTCACCTCCGCCCACGCAGCGGGAGGCAGACGGACGACGGGAGAGAGCGAGCGGTGAGGATGATGAGAGGCAGGAGGAGAGGGATATGGGGAGAAGGAGGGGGCGGATGAGGAGGAACAGGGGATGTCTGGGGAGGGAGGTCCAAGTAGAGCGGTCCAGGGAGTAGTGCCCCAGGAATGGCTGGACATCAGGACGCGGAGGATGATATTGAGGAGGATGGTAGAGGAGGTTGGCAACGACGACTACGACGAGGCTCACGATTATGCCTATACTCTGGTCGCGAGGGGGTGGCCCTAGCGTGGAGGACAACGAGGAGGAGCAGGCGGAGGCGTGACAGGCAAGATGTCGGCACAGCACTGGGAGGAGCGGCGGGAGGCCCCTCGTGCTCCGCGTGCGCCGTTGAAGCGCGTGCAGCCGCCGACTCAGAAGGCGGTGATCACCGGCAGTATGCGATTCCGATTGGCGGCGTGTAAGAGGGGGTGTGGGGAAGGGGGAAGGCTTCGTAGGAGGAGGCTGCCTTTCAGAAAGCGCTGGCCTTACCTCTAAGGATAAGGCCCGTGCCCTCTAAGAAGCAGAATGCTTCTAAGAAGTCTTCAACACTCCCCATACCCCCCTCTGCGCGTGGCCGATACGAAAAGGAACACCACAGGCAGGGGAAAGGAGGACGGGGGGGGAAGGGAAAGAGGAGGAGCGAAAAGGAGGAGGACGACGACGAGGTCGTCCAGAGGAGGGGGAGTTTAGGGATGGATGCACATGCGCAGCCGCAAGTGTCGCCTACTCATTCTGCCCCTCCTCCTCCTCCTCCTCTTCCTCCTCCTCCTCTCTTCTACTCCCTCCTCCTTTCCCTCCTTCTTCCTCTTCCTCCTTCTTCCTCCTCCCCCCTCGTTCTCCTCTTTCTTACCCTCCTCCTCCATGCCCCCCCCCCGGTACTCCTCTCGTGTCAGCCGCATTGCCACCTCGCCTCTCGTCGCAGGTCCAGGGCGGCCCCTGGCTCGCAAGGGCGGCTAGCCCACGCACGACCTCTCGCGCAGGAGGCAGCCAGAACACGACGCGCGGCAGGCCTGGTCCTCGTCGTCCTCACCGTCGCCAATCGTCATCATCACCATCACCAACACCACCCTCATCATCACTATCACCATGACCATCACAATCACCATCATCACCACCACCATCACCACCATCATCATCATCACCATCATCACCACCATAATCATCATCATCATCATCATCATCATCATCATCATCATCATCATCATCATCATCATCATCATCATCATCAACATCATGATCATGATCATCATCATCATCATCATCATCATCATACTCATCATCATCACTACCACCATCATCGTCACCATCACCATCACCACCACCACCATCATCACCATCATCATCATCATCATCATATCATCATCATCAACATCATGACAATCATAATCACGTCGTCATCATCGTCGTCGTCGTCGACGTCATCGTCATCGCCGCCATGACTATCTCCACCTCCGTTGCCAGATACCAGCGCCATCATTCCGAAAGCAGCTGTTACAATTATTCGTGTCCATCGCTATCCGTGCCAACATTACCACCATGACCATCTCCATCATCTCCATCATCATCACCATCATCATCATCATCATCAACATCATCATCATCATCGTCACCATCACCATCACCATCATCATCACCATCATCATTATCACCACCATCACTATCACCATCACCAGTACCATGACCATGACCATCACCATCATCATCATCAGCATCATCACCATCACTATGATCATGATGATGATCATCATCATCACCGTCACACTCACCATCATCATCACCATCACCACCATCATCATCATCACCATCCCATCACCATCACCATCACCATCACCATCACCAACACCAACACCACCACCACCATCATCATCACCAGCATCACCATCATCATTAGCATCACCAACATTATCATCGACACCGACATCGGCATCGGCATCGAGATCGACATCGCCACCGCCACCACCGCTAGCAAGACCATCGTCGCTATAGGGCAGCAAAGCGCTGACGTATCGAGTCAATCCAATTCCACTCGCACTTTGCCCCCCCCCCCCCCCCTGGCGAACGTCTGTCTTCTAGACTTCGCCTTTCCTCGAAAGGTAAGCCTCTCGGACACGACGCGTGGCGAGCGGCGCGGAAGGGGAAGGAGAGTGACGGGGATGAGGAGGAGCACGGAAAAGAGCATGAGCATGAGGATAAGGAGGATGCGAAACGACGCGAGTGACTCCAAAATGCATCAAACACACTGCAATACACCCTTCCGTCTCGAGTCCCCTCGGCATACGTCCCTACAAATCGTCCTTCTTCACGTCGGGAATCATATGTGTCACAAGTCGTCAACGTCCATACACATCGTTCTTCTTCACGTCGGGGATGATATGTGTTACAAGTCGTCAAGGCGAAATTATACATGTCGGACCCCTCCCTGTTCTGGGGATCGGACGCCGAACATCGCTTCTTGATGATGCTTCTGGCCCCCCCCCTGGTCCTCTGGAGGCCGCCAGAGACAGCGCCGTGACGCAGCGCCGCTCTGCCTGTCGGCGGGCCCTCGCCCACCGGGCGAGGCATGCGGTGTGTGCTGGAGGGCCGGGGGCCGCCTCTCAAGGCGAAGGGGCTGGGGGGAGGAGAGAGCCATGCCAGGCGCAGCCCAGGTCTGTTTCTCGTGAAGTGCACTGCACTGACGGACTGACTGCCCGGTCGCACCCGTCCGGCGGCCGCTTTACTCCCGGCCGCCGATCGCGCAACCCATGGCGCGACCGCCAGCAGGCCGCCTTACCACCCATCGCCGAATGCGCAGCCTGTGTCGGAACCAACAGCAGGCCTTTTTATTCTCGGCCGCCGAGTGCGCACTAGCAGGCCGTTGTGCCCTTTGCCACCGAGAGCGCGACCTATGGCGCAACCAATGGATAGCGATGGCGTAATCCATGACCCGTGGATGGCGCAACCGATTGAATCGCGCAATCTGTGGCGCAACCCATCGGAGGCACAACCCGTAGCATAAACCCTGGATGACGCAACCATGGCGCAACCCGTGTCTCGCACAACCCATGGCGCGCCGCATGGGGGGCACACGTCTGTGGCAAGCTCTGCAGGGCCGCGTCAGATTTGTGCTTGCACTTAGGTCTGGTGGTGCCCGAGCGGGGAGCTGTCTTGTGATATAGAGCATCGCTATCATTACCACCGTCATCGCAATAATAATAGTAATAATAATACAAATACGACTACTACTACTGCTACTGCTACTGCTACTGCTACTGCTACTGCTACTGCTACTGCTACTACTACTACTACTAATACTACTACTACTACTACTACTACTACTACTACTACTACTACTACTACTACTACTACTACTACTACTACTACTACTAATAATACTACTAATAATAATATCAATAATAATACTGATAATAATATTAATAACAGTACTAATAGTAATACTAATGATAATATTATTATCATTATTCATAATAATAATACTAATAATAATGATAATAATAATAAAACTAATAATAATACTAATGATAATGATGCTAATCATCATCACCACCACCACCACCGTCTCCCCCTTCATCACCATTGCCACTGGCAGCTCAGGACGCTTTTGCAAAGGGCAAGGCGCGCCCCCTGCAACTGGTGCCCCGCCCGCGCCGATCGCGCACAGTCCTCGCGGCGGCAGCAGCTGCTGAGCCAGGGGAATGTCCACGAGGCCAGTGCGGGGAGGAGGTGGCAGTGCGGGGAGGAGGTGGCAGCGTTACGCTTCACAGCGCAAGGAGAGGGGGAGGGAAGGGAGCGGAGGACCAGGGCGGACGAAAGGTGGAAATAGCAAAGGAAGTGGCGAATCAGGTGCATGGAGCTGCTTTTTTCGGGCGCCTCCTGGCGCCAGAGACGGCCATGTATCAAGCAGTGTGGCTAGCGGGTGGCCGAGACCAGCCGCATGCAGCAGACTTCGCCCGCCCCCTCCTTGGACCCGTCCCTTTTGCCCGCCCCGAGAGCAGCGACGACGCCAGCAAAATCTTCACGCCGACGATGAAAAAACTCCTAAAGTACTAGGGCCGATCACTGCAGAGACAGGGCCGTGAGACAGTGGGCCCCAGGGCGAGGCGGCCCTGAACACTTCAGACTCATCCCAGAAGCCCCCCCGCACGATCGGGGCCCCGTCCCGCAGGTGCCGCTCCTCGAACCCCGCGACGCCGGGCCGGGCCGAGCAGCTGGCAGCCCCGGGGGGGGGGGCGTGGGGCGGGGGCGGCAAGGAAACGGTGCCGCCCACCCAGGCAGCCCTGCAGCCCGGCCGCCCAGCCGCTCGACGGGCCTCCGCCGCCCTCTGGGCCGCTCGGCCCTGGCGGCAAGGCCTCCCCGCAGCGCAGCGCGCGGGTGGCCGCGCGGCGCCCCTGGCAGGGAGCCGCGCGCGGGCAGACGCGGGACGAGCGGCCCCTGGGCGGGCGGGCGAGGGGCCGGCGAGGAGCACAGGTCACCGAGCTCGAGGGGGAGGCGCTCCCCGAGCCAACCTGCCCCGCCTCCTCGTCACTCTCTCGCTCCGGCTGCCGCTCCTCCTCCACCCGATCCCAGTCCTCTTCCGCCTGCTCCTCCGCTTCCTCCTGCGTCCCATCCCATGCTCCCCCCCTCCCCACTCCTGCTCGACTTCCTCCTGGTCCTCCTCCGCACCTCCAAGCTCCTTCGCACCGCTCCTCCTCCTCCTCCTCCTCCTCCTCCTCCTCCTCCTCCTCCTCCTCTTCCTCCTGCCCTCCCCATCCGCTCCTCCTGCTCCTCCTGCCCTCCTGCTAATCCTGATCCTCCTGCTCCTCCTCCCTCCTCCCTCTTCCTCCTCCTCCTTCTCCTCCTCTTCCCAAGCCCCCATCTTTCCCATCCCCATTCCAATCCCAATTCTCATCCCCATCCTCCTCCTTCTCCTCTTACTCCGCCTCCTCCA